TCGAGACCCAACCCAAACCCATCGGCTCTCGATTCGGGGTACCCGTTCGGGTATTTAATTTATGAAGAAACGCTCGGTTCGGTTCGGGTTCGATTCGGTCCGATTCGGTTCGAGACTTTTGGACACCCCTATTCTCAATTCATCACTCACTTGGACCACTGCTTTATTATACCATGAATTCAAAATGTATCCCAAATTTATTTAACAATGAAATAGAAACATTATTTAAAAATGAGAAACATATATTTACTACAATATGTAGTCAAAAAATACAAAGAGGGAATTTTTTTTATAATTCCTGAAAAGAGAATGGGCATAAGTGTTACAATTGATACTCAAAGGGTGTCAACGTAATTTACTGAAATGGAAAACGCACAAACAAAGCGGAAAAAAACCTCTCATGAACCAGTAAACGTTTGTCAGCTTTCATACGCCGCCTTCCAAGAAAAACATTCACTTCTTCTTGAAAATAATTTTGCTTGGTCAACTTGCGATATCTGACCCAATTTTTATTTTTTATCTTTTACATTTCGGAAAGTTCCTTTTTATGGATCTGATCCTACACAAAAATGAAAAACCAATGAGCCAAGGAATTTCCCAGATTCAATTCACCTGACAATAGTTCAGGGGTACTTGTCAAAATGACCTAGTCAAAGGTCCCTAATTCCATTTTGACTTTTCCAATTGACAATAATCCCAAAATGACCCATTNATCTGACCCAATTTTTATTTTTTATCTTTTACATTTCGGAAAGTTCCTTTTTATGGATCTGATCCTACACAAAAATGAAAAACCAATGAGCCAAGGAATTTCCCAGATTCAATTCACCTGACAATAGTTCAAGAATTCATCGTCTTTTGGGCATTTGAAGTATCCCAGTTTGGCATTCAATAGAGATTTCTTGGTTATTTATTGAATCCTGAGGTGGTCTATCGAGATTCTTGGCTTAACTCCATGGTTGAGCTATTTGACGGCTGGTCAACTGAGATGAGTTGTTGAAGAAAGCTGCGAATATTTGAACTTTGAAGGTTTCCTTTAGCATTTGAGAATTCGTGATTACATGAATTTCGGATATTACTTCATGAGTTTGTTGGGATGATGATGATGATTCAAGAAAAAATGGGTATCAGAAAAATTGTTTATTGCATTTCTTTTGTATTTCTATTTTTCACTTTGGTAACGGCAGCCATGGAGAGCAAGAGGGAGAAAGAAGAACCTTTACTGGCGCATCTAATCTACTCTGGGGGGATAAATAAGGAGATGGTACTGAGTTGTTATTTCTTGTGTCACTTTTAAATTCTATTCCACAAACATATACATATACATCTAAATACATAAACATCATACTTGTGTGCATATGTATATATACTGCTTCATTTATAAACTTTTCAGATGCTATTATTTGTTGGATATTTTTATGGGAGATATTATTGTATCTTGTTTAGTAGCATGGTCTTGGAAAGGAATTCGTTTCCCATGTCGAGAAACATTCCTATGCTAATTTGATTGAGAAATGTGTTGACAAAATATGTGAAGTTTTCACTTTTTGCGCCACCAAAAAGCCTTACGTACATTTGTGTTGTTGCATATGTAAGCTTTTAATCTTGCGTGCTAAGGAAAGCCCCATATATACGTTATCATTCTTCACGAAGGTTTTGTTCTTGATTTTATGGTCGAGTTAGAAAGTAGCGATGATACTTTTCCTTTTTGCCATTGTCTCGCCTACAAAGTCCTTCACGTTGATTCGGCTAAAGGACTTCTCCCAAATATATTCATAATACTTTAGAAGTGAAAGAATCCTTCATAGTTTCCACGTCTTATGTTTTCTCCATTCTTATAATAAGATTGAATACTACAGTAATTCTGTTGAAGAGAGACAAAATTGATGTCATCGAATTGATCCGATATTTTCTAGTTCTTTCTCATCACTGTCTTCTTTTAACCATCCCGGTTTTTCTTTTATAAGATAAGAAACAGTAGGATATAATTGGGTTGAATGACCTTTCTATGCTACTTCAGTTAAGAGTTTTCCATTGACAACAGAAAGTTTTGATACATGTGGAAACAGGTTTTTCTTGACTCCAGTTTTATGATACGTGTTGTACCTGTCTTTTAAATACTTTCACGGGCTTCTCACATATTGTTCTAATTACCTTGATCTAACATGTCCTTTGATGATGAGAGTAAATTGTTAGATTTTTGTGGGTTATTGATGTCTCATCAATTATACTCTGATAATTAATGGAAGAAGTGATTTTGTATCTTTGAAGCCATCACTTAAAGATTTTCTTCTTAGAAACATTATCTTTTTGTGAGTGTAATTAAGCAAACACTTATTAAATTTATAGAAGGAAATGATCCTACAAGGAAGAAAAGAAGTTTCATATTCACACAACATTTCCATGTTCTTTTGTCTTTTCAAAGTAGATTTTTAAGGAACAAGCTTGATCAGAGTCTGGAATGTCTTGTATTTCCATTTACATACGTCTAGAATGGTCACCAAGAATCTGATGAAATTCTCATGCTGCAGGCTGAATTGTTATGGATACACTGCAGGCCAGAGTTGATACATGCCCAAAATGCTCTAGATCGTGAACTATATCTCCCAGAGCAATGGTTAAGCTACAGTAAGGAACTTCTAAATATCAGGTCATCGACCAAAGAAGATCTCCATAAAACTTTCAGTATGTTGCAACCTCAAGTTAAGCAAATCCTTTTGGATTGTTTAACGGAGAAAAAACTTACATTTCTTATATCTGGAGAAGAGAGAGGTGTCAAAAATTGGTACACCAGGTATTTGAGATTCTTCTTTCCCAGGTCTGATCCATCTAGACGCCGTGAATTAGTTCACACATTTGGAGAAGCACCTGCTCCATCCCCGATGGTTTCATCCCCTAATCCAGCACCTTCAATTCCAATAACTCCTGATGTTCAAAGTCCTGCTAGTCCTCCACTGCATCCATTTTTTCCTCCATACTTCGGCTGGTCAAAACTGCCACCTACAGCTGGTGAACAATCTACTGTTGATCCAAATTCTTCTTCGGGTGTACAATCAGAAGAGAAAAAGAGCAACAAGAAAACCATTGTCATTGCGGTTGTTGTAACTGCTGGGGTGACGCTTGCCCTTTCTGTACTGCTCTTTTTATGCTATCGTAGGTTCTGTGGGACTGGCTCTGCACAGGGAAGAAACGATGAAAGTCCTCTTCTTAGCCTAAGCTTAAGTGACTATTCAATTGGTACATTTGCAGTTCCTAATATTTCTTCTTAAGAAACTATATTGCATCTGCTTGTTATGATTTTTCTTCTGAAATTTTGATCTTTCAGCCTCTCCGCAGAAGTCTTTTGGTCTGGCAACTTCAATAAATGGAGAAAAGCTTGGTAATCAGTCATTTAGTAGCAAGCCAAACCACAACAAAAGCGGTCACAGTTTCTATGTGCAGTCACATTCTCTAAGTGATTCAAAAGTTGAGCTTCCAGTTGGAACAACTGCTGGAGCTGCTGTAAACCCCACCATGAATTCAGCAGGTCTACCACCTGGAATGTTGGGTACACCAGGACTGCCTCCACTGAAGCCACCACCTGGAAGCACAGGTCCTCCTAAGCCACCTGCAGGCAATACAGCCGCTCCTGCAGCCCCAACCCCTGCGCCACCACCACCGCCTCTAAATCCTTCATTTGGTGGACCACCTCCTCCACCTCCTATACCCTCTGGCATCAAGACTGGTCCACGTCCACCACCTCTTCCACCTACTGGTGGCCCTCCACCAAGGCCTCCTTCCATAGGCTCAAAGCCACTTCGACCTTCGCCACTTGGACAGAATCATCCATCAACTGCTACTTCAACTGATGGAGAGGCTGCTGGTTCTAAAGCTAAGCTGAAGCCTTTCTTCTGGGATAAGGTTTTGGCCAACCCTGATCATTCAATGGTTTGGCATCAAATCAAATCAGGGTCCTTCCAGTAAGTATTTCCCCCTCATTGTTTTTTGTTAATTGATTTATATATGGAAGTAAATACTTTTATAAACAGGTTCAATGAAGAGATGATAGAAACTCTATTTGGCTATACCCCTGTTGAGAAAAACAAGAATGTATTCAAGAAAGAGTCTTCATCCCAAGATCCGTCAACCCATTATATCCAAATAATTGATTCAAAGAAGTCACAGAATTTATCAATTCTTCTCAAAGCATTAAATGTGACTACAGAAGAAGTTTGTGACGCACTTCGTGAAGGTGACATTTTTTGTTTCTTATTAAAGTTTTTTGAGAAATTTACTTGAAGAGAAGAACTTCATTATCGGTAAAAATACTTGAAAACAAGTTATAAGTATCGAATCAGATAAAAGGTGGATTTCATTTCATTCATACATTGATCAGATGATCTAATTTATACATCTATCTGCTACAACATGTTGCATTAAAAGGGAGAGAGGACTGATATGGCTGATAACATTTATTTGAGAGTCAATAAACGTAATAAGCAATCTTTGTCAAAAGTTTGAGCTGAGTTAGAGGTGCTAGCACTCTAATATTCTTGTTGTCATCCTAGGAGTGTCTTGACATATTAGAAATACAAAACATGATTCAGAACTACTCCTTGATATCTTTTATATTGATTGCATCTTGATATCTTTTCTTTCTAAGTCAAGAGGTTTGCGATTCTTGTATATATTTAGTTTTTATTTTTCTGTGGCTACTTTGTTGCAGAAGTAGCACGTGATTCAGACTTATTCCTTTGCATTCGCGCCGATGTTGTTACTTTTTTCTCCTAATGTAGTGATATTTCTGAACTCTTCAATTCAAAAGATTTGTAATCTTTTTTCTTTAGAATCTATATTGATAGTGCTCGATGCCTCTTAGGGCACTCTTGATTCATCTTATTTTATGTCTTCTCGTATTAGATGGGCAACAATAGAATGTTAGATACACTTTAATGATGATATTACAGATGAACTACATACATGAACCTCAATGAAAGATGCTAAAACTATTCGTGAAGATTTAATTGTCTGCTCTCAGAGGAAGAGAGGAGCACTTTGCTCAAGAAATCTTGCACAACCTAAATGCAAGATTAACCACTTTGCTTGTTATCTGCAACTATCCATCAACAGTTTGATGATTGTATTGGCTTATTATTCTGAAGCTGTTTCATAGAAGTCTGAATTTGCTATTGCTTTATGGTCGATTTTATATCTCAAGAAAGCGGCTGACCTACTGAATTAAATCAGGCAATGAGCTTCCCTCAGAGCTTATTCAGAATTTGTTAAAGATGGCTCCGACATCTGACGAAGAATTGAAGCTGAGGCTCTACAGTGGGGAGCTTTCTCAACTTGGGCCTGCAGACCGCTTTCTCAAAGTCTTAGTGGACATTCCATTTGCCTTTAAGAGGCTAGAATCCTTGCTTTTTATGTGCACTCTACAGGAGGATACAGCAATGGTAAAAGAGTCTTTTGCAATCTTAGAGGTGCGCCATTCTTGCTATTAATTGCATCTATTTATCAGCTTATAATTATTAAGAAATGTCCATTTAGTAGTGAATATTAGTTCCACAATCATTTGAGGAAATATGAAATGTAGTGATTCTGGGTAACTAAATTTTGTGATGCAAATCTCCCATGGATGGACTGAATATTATGCTGTCCCTTGAAAATGTGTAATATATTTACATCTCACGTATAAAGAGTGCAAAACAAAATCCATAGAAAGGTGAAAAACTTTGTTGTAATGAAGTGACTTTTCAGCATTCACGTTTTACCCTCCCTTGTGTTTTTTTAACTTTCTTCTTTATATATTAATGTGAGAGCAACAGAAAGTGATGAATCTAGTCATCTACAACCTCTTCCATAACCAGGTCTAAATCATGAGACCATTGGTTATTCTTCAAGTTAGATACCACAATTTTCATGTCAGTAAACTAATTTCTCATACATGTTCCGTACAAGAATGCTTGCAGCACCTTTTGTTTACTATCAAATCTTGAATAATTGCTTAGTGTTTGGAACTGGCTATGCTTTTTTATTTACTCTCTCCCCTCTTGATGCATTTTATGCTTGATATAACACTTGAAGTAGGGATATCAAAACCTTTAAAATAGGACCCTGGGCTGTGCTGGGTATCACCTCCGCGGCCTGGCAGCTGGGCTGTATTTTTTCCAGAAAATATATATACAGGGGGCTATGCCAGCCATTGGACTTAAATGTGCTGCAGCATGCATATTGCAGGCTGCGTTACGCATTTATTTGCAGCTGGCTAAATGTCAAATGTTATAGTTGGAAATATTTTTTAAAAAAGAACACGTTATATTTTTCTAATTAAAAATATTCAAAAAATGGACCAGGACGACAAATCGGCTCATCACTTTAGAAATCGTGCTGAGCACAGTAGGACTCGCTTCCATGTCCTTGCCGCACCTGGCCTAATTTTAAAGCGCCAGCCCTGTCCTTTTTACATCCTTAAATTGAAATGAAGATTATATGGAAAATCAGGATGTCTCAGAGCTAGTTCTTGTCTAGTGATAATCCTCTCATATGACTCGTACATTTAAATGAATTTTGCCCCTGTTTGATGTAGCTAAATATCAGATTTTTAGAAGATTTTGATAAAAGTTGATGAAATGTGTTGTTGAAAAGTTGCGAGTCCCATAAAATATGTGATTAGAATTAATAGTTGACTTTAACTTAGACTAAAATCTAGATTTTAATCCCTATCAAATGAGTAAATCTACTTTGACATTCATTTTGGACATTTTGGTTGACACTTCATGATGTCTAAAAAATTTGGCCGCTGATTTGAATAAATGTTATTCAAAGTGGCCAGATTGCTTGCCGCATCATGGAATGTCAACAAAACTGTCAATCTAGCAAAACTCCTATCAAATAGGGCTTTATTCTCTTTATCATGCTGTAGGGTCAGTCCTTGAAATGCAATGGGGATAAGTTTAAATACCATTTGTGCCCACCTCCAAAGAACAATAAATAAAAGATAAAGAAGAAGTAACACATGATGCACTTGCACACACTCATGCACGAGTCATGAGCAAAAAATATGACAATGATCATACGGCGGCAAATGGCTTCTAAATTCTAATCTTTTCGATGCATTTGTCAGCAATGACACCGATTGCCTTAACCTATAGTTCCTTTATTCGAAGATTTTCTAAAATAATATACTTACACCATCTCAATTTAAATTGCAGGCTGCTTGCACAGAACTCCGGAAAAGCAGGTTGTTTCTCAAACTCCTCGAGGCTGTTCTTAAAACTGGAAATCGCATGAATGATGGAACATTCAGGGGTGGTGCACAAGCATTTAAGCTTGATACGCTTCTAAAATTATCTGATGTAAAGGGAACAGATGGAAAAACGACTCTTTTGCACTTTGTTGTTCAGGAGATAATCCGTTCAGAAGGTGTACGAGCTGCCCGGGCAGCCAAACAGAGCCAGATCACATCCAGCCTCAAATCTGATGATCGACTTGAGGATTCTTACCAAGATTCAGACGAGCACTATAGAAACATTGGCCTGCAGGTTGTCTCAGGTCTGGGTGGTGAGCTTGAAAATGTAAGGAGAGCTGCAATATTAGACGCTGATGGCTTAGCAGGAATCGTTTCAAAGCTTAGTCAGTCACTCGTAAAATCCCGAGATTTTTTAAATTTGGAAATGAAGAATATACCAGAAGAAAATGGGTTTCACCAGACTTTAAAAAGTTTTGTGCAGAATGCTGAGGTTGATGTTACGTGGTTACTCGAGGAAGAGAGAAGAGTAATGGCTCTCGTGAAGAGCACAGCAGATTACTTTCATGGAAATGCTGGGAAGGATGAGGGTTTACGATTATTTGTTATTGTTCGGGATTTTCTGATAATTTTAGAAAAGGTATGTAAAGAAGTGAAAAATTCGCCAATAAAACTACATAGGACACCTCGGAAAGAAGAGTCGATAGTGGCACCTACTGATCCCCGCCAAAATCCTCCCATTGATCCTCGTCAACGGTTGTTTCCAGCTATCATGGATAGACGGATGGACAGTTCTAGTTCAGACGATGACTCCTAGTAGTTTAATCAGAACAGGTATAATAACTCGTTCCATCAATTTCTCTTACAAGGATGTGAAAATATATAATAGTTATTAATCTAGACAACTTGTGGTACCTTCCGGCCATTTTCTTCACATTGGCATTTATTCAGGTAGTGCAGAGATTCCCGAAAAGGCCAATACAGTGATACAGTGTCGACTCTTTCCTTTGACTGCTATTAATGGCGCTTCTAGCTGCAAAGCTGACTGAAGTTTATGTGCAACGGTAACTAGCATTTTCATTGTTGCATGGAGGAAGACTTGATAGAAGTTTCTTAACTTTACTTTAATGGAGCTTCAATTATGGATCATATTTAATTATTGTAATTGTTTATTTTTCATTATTCTTTTCTGAGTTCTGTCCATATGCCTCTTTTTTTAATTTAATTTATTTTTTATTTTTTTGTTTCTGTTTTTGAATCGAACAAGTAGCCAGTGCATTACTGGGAATCATCTGAAACAAATGCTTAAATTAGATGTAAAAGTTAATATATTTTTTTGCTAAATTCAGTGATTGATACGTCTTTTATAATTATTGTTTGTGTGAAAACTCCATGAAGTAAAAGTCACCGGCTTCAAATTCGCGTTTGATAATTTCTTATTTTGTTCAGTCTGTTAACCTTGAAGTTGATAAGGTGATTATTTGAGTTTAATCTTGATTATCATTACTGGAAGGGATTAAGAAAAAGAAGAAATATGGGTTAAAAAAATTTGTTGATACATAGAAATTTTGTTACAAAAAACAATGTAATTTTCACAATTTGTCAAAATCAAGTCATTTGTGTTTTGTTGATAAAAATGACACGAAATGGTGATTTCATATCTTGTGCTACATGTACATAATGAGGTGTACATAATGAGTTACATATATATGACGTGACGAGATATGATTGGATCAGAATTTCTTCAACTAAATAAAAAAAATAAAACTTCTCCACTCTCTTTTTGACACATCATGTGAATGTAAACGATTATATAACTTCAGTTAGAGAGAGGAAAAGCTAGAAAATGAAAGGGCCATACGTGGTGTGCAGTGTATGAGGACACATGACAGAGAGTTCAAGAGGACTATCAAGGTGTAGAGAGTAAAACTAGAACCAGTACAAGTAGGTGTGGTGTAGGTCGAGTGTTCTAGTTTTGTGTAGGGTGAAGAAAATTTTGTATTGTGAGGTTTTCTCAACTAATGAAGTATTCTTTTCGCAGGCGGTTCGTTGAATCACGTTTAATATGTGTTTTTCGTGCAGAACATAAATTGTTTTATAGTATCTTTGGTAGGTTAGACTGGATAATGCTGAAAAGATTTAAAGAAAAGAAAATGAGCTAAAATATTGCATATTCTCTTGTTGAATATTGCCCAATGTCCACTACAGCGTACCCTCGCTGTCATGTGGCGTCTCTGAACTTGACAATTTGATGTAGTGTTGCTCATTTTCCCAGGGAATTTATGGCTGAAACATTAACAAACATTGCTGTTGAAGTGGTTACGCAATTACAATAGCCTCAAAAGTAAGGTGCAAAATCTTAAAAGGAAAATTGAACGGCTCAGCAGTCAAGCAGCTGACGTGATTGAAATGCTAAGAGAGACAGAACTTCACTCGAGCAAGAAAAGAAAAAGGGAAGTTAATGATTGGCTGACCATTGTAGAAAAAAAGAAAAAGAATTTGAAAGCCTGGAAAAAGTAGTTAACGAAAGCGGATTTTACTCACATACAACTGGGAAAACATGATAAAATGATTTGAGCAAGTGGCAGAACTTGTCGAGCAAGGCACATTTTCGGAATGGCTAGTACTGGATGTCTATGAATCAAAGGGGGAGCCGCTTGTGACAACAGGATGGAAAGGCCAGACGTTTGAAGTTAATTTGCAGAAAATCTGGCTTAGTTTAAGGGATGATAAAGTTTTAGGTATTGGTATTTATGGAATGGCGGGAGTGGGAAAAACGACTTTGGCAATGCATGTCCATAACAATCTCTTGACATAATCTATATTCTTAGGTAATGTGTATTGGATCGCTGTTTCACAGGAGTTTAGCACTCACAAATTGCAAAACGACATTGCCAAAACCTTTGATCTAGATATTTCAAATGAAGATGATGAAAAGAAGAGGGCAGCCAAATTGTCACTGGCATTTAGGAGAAAGAAGAAATTTGTACTCTTACTCGATAATTTATGGAATGGTATTGCTACAGAGAAGATTGGAATTTCTCCTGAAATGGATGGATTCAAGTTGATCATAACGAGTGCAACACTAGAGGTATGTCGTTCTATGAAATGCCAAGAAAATATAAAAGTTGAACCTCTATCGG